TCCGGAGGAGGCTTCCAATTAAGTCTTGATATGCTCAAATAAATCCCAGTACCTCTTCCACACGCGCCGCAACTTTGGCAGCCTTCCAAATGATTTCTTGGTTTCTTGGGCTTTGCCAGATATGCAAAATTTTCATAAATGCCACAGCCAGCAGGGTTTTGTGGGTGAGGCCCTCTGAACATGATTTACGATTACTAAACTACTTAATGTTAATCAATTGTGCAACAGACTCATGACGATGATGGGCGCAATTTGTTGGCCAGATAATTGCAGCCGACACTTTGTGCAATCATTGCAAATGTTGCATGGCGACAGTGTTGCATGCAAATGCAAATCAATTCAAAATGGGAGGCGAAGGAAGCAGCCGGAACAAGCAGGAAAACAGGAAATGGGAGTTGAATTTCGCATATTTTTGGTTGGCAGCAAAAACCGCAAATTGCTATTAACGAAAATCTAATCATAACCGGAAATTAATTTGACAGGAATCTCATTAAATTTACAGCCATACCAGAAGGACACATGGCAGCAGCTGCCGACGGGTCCCGAAATCAGATCCCATTCCCCACTTTCAACCCACATCCCTTCATTTCCAGCCCCATTCAATCCTAATGCGCCATCCGCAAATCCCCTTTTGGCAAATCGTTTAAAGCTGCATTGCGTTGACATTGCAACTGCCAGCTGAGTATTTGAGTAATGTACGGGATTTCATTATAATATACAATTATTCCTGCGCTTTTCCATGTTTACACGAGGGTTTATGTCGTTAAGAGGATTTCATGATTTGAAAAAGTAGATCAATTCTTTAGAAATATATACAGGTGTTTACACAATATATCCTTTAATTAATATATCCTTTAATTATATTGAACTGTTTTACACACATATTATATGTTCGTTAACTTCGCTTTTCAGGTTAAGGTTTGCTTTTGTAAATATTGCATCAACTAGTTTTCATTCCCTTAATAATTTCTTATTCTTTAATTATTACGACAAAAAGAGTTAATAATAAATGGAATTTAATAAATATATGCCTACGCAAACCACTTATAAAATTGGCACCTTTTATCTTCCAGAAACTTAACTCTTAAAAATCATTTAAAAGACACCTATAATTATGGCTCCTAGCTAATTGCTGAGACACCACTCCGCATAACCATCTCCGTGCGATTGTTCCGTGTTAATTCTCCCAGTTTGTGCTGACTATGAGCAACTGCCTCCGCCGTCGACTGACTGCCTTCTGTAATTTATTTCTGATTTTGGGTTTGCGCCATGCGTGGCTGAGCATTAGAGGCGCTTGCACATTTTGCCAGCACATAAATTAACATAAAGAGGCGGCAAACTGAGAGGTGAGGTGGGGAGGGCGGAGGGTGGAGGGCAGGGGGCGTGGCCGTGTGGGCTGTGTGACGTCAGAGGTTGGGGGTCGGGAGGGGGTAATACCCCCCCGAGGGAAACCTTGCAGCGATTACGTGACATTGAACCAGAGCCAAGCCAAAGTGGCTGATTGTGATGGTTGGGGCTGCTGTTGCAGTAGTTCTCAATCACAGACGACGAGAGTTTGAGTCACCGTCTAATTGGACAGGGGCGTCGGCGCAGGGGGAACTTAATCCCTTCGTGACATCTGACAATTGCAATTCAGCTGGATGTCCAATGAGTGGTCCAGAGTCTACAAATTTCGCTCGTGTATATTCTCACTGGGGTATTGTTGGCATTTCACTGTTGATTAGGCAAATACTATACAAAAACACTGGCTAGTTAAGCTTTTAGTTTAATTTAACAGCTGCCGATGACTCATGTTAAATGTGATCCCACTATTAAGCAAATATTTATTTCACAAACACGAAGAAAGTTCACAAATTTAAATGAATTTAACAAATATTATAGATACATAATATATAGACACATTGTAATGCAACAGGTGCATAGTAATATTACTTTTTGTTCATTAGGTTTACCTATACTCAAAAAATGCACATTTAAACATTCGAATCTCATTTACTGAGTCTCCCTTTGAATTCGTAGTCACGTTACAACAACAAAGTTTTTGAGTAGATTTCCATTGAAAGTGATTAGTCATTTGGTTTCAAGCGAAACAGTTGTTACAGTAAAAATTCAAAATACACTTTAAATACTATTTAAAATGTCGTATAAAATTTTACGAAGAACTGTGCAGTCCTAACACAGAAATTAAACTACAAAATTGTTATTCAATAAATTGTTTAAGCCCATGTTTTCTTGTTTGTCTAATCCATAATTTGCCATAAGATGACAATTGAAATCAAGACAAAAATCTTTTTAATAACCAAACGATTAAAGTTGCAGCTTAAATTCCAAAAAGGAATTTCATTTAATCTGAGAGCTTTTCGTTCTTGTTGTTTTCATTTAATTTAAAATTCATTTGGACAAAGCTCAATTTGTTTTGTTTTCCACCGAAAAGTCCAAAAATCAAAGGCAACAAGGCGAAGTCAAGTTAAGTCGGCTTAAATTAAAAGTCCGAATTTTGCGCATTTTATTTAGTTAGCAAAAGTGTTTAGTAATTAAACGATTTGTGCATTTAATTGACTTTGGTTTTCAAGCTTTAATTGAAACAACCTTGTCTGACGTGGATTTAAAATAAACAAATAATAGGGTTGGATAGAATTTGTGGCGAGAGGTATTAATAATTTTAATGAATTTTCGTGATTAAAATCCAGTTTGATTTAATTGAATTTTAGTTATACCATCATTAGAAAAAAATAAGACAACAGCCAATGCATTTTTTGTTTAGAAAATAAAATTTTATCTAAAAATATATAATCCTTGCATTAAAACTCAATTAATTGCCGCTTTCTCTATTTGTCAATAATTTTTTCGTAATCAGCTTAGCAACCAATAAATAAACTATAATATTTTCCACTTCATTCCAATTGCCACCGATTTAGGCCAGACACAAAATGCTAATTATCTAGCCATTCATCATACAAAATATTTGAAAAGGTCCGAAAATTAACTTCAATTTGCATAAATAAATACGTCTCTAAATTAAACAAATTGCCTGCCCATTCAATAACAAATGCCAACAATAAAATACAAAAAAAAATTAACAATAATTTTCATAATTGTTTTGAGTTTTATTACTCCACGCATAGTTTCATATACGAGCAGCAAAAAAAAAGAACAAAAGTGATTTATGTCGGCATGCAATTGCAATTTGTTTTGGGCCAGAGAAAGACATTCCCTGGAAAAAGGCCTTAAACGCGAATTATGGCCATAATTAACCCAATTCTTTTGGCCATGGGACACTGACACGGTCCGTTCCCATAAAAACAAAATAAAGAAATACAGCAAATGAAAACCGGCAAAGAAAATACTCAAGAATTTCACTTGCAATCAGGCCGAGAAATGGACATAAGAGAACCAGAACATGAGTGCATCATATTCACGTGTGAGTTCGTTCAACCGATTTGAGTTGGGTGAAAGCTTTATATAATTAATCAAGATAAGAACAAGTACTACTCAGTTTGAAAACCAGTAAAAACAGTAATCGATTATTTTATATTTATTTATAATCTACATACGAGCTATTCATAGCCATAAAAATTAAATATGGAAATATGTAAATCAGAAGCAGTTAAATCCAGTATTTCCACATTTCCAACAAGTTTAATTGAACTTAGTTTTTTTTAGGCTGAGAACAATGGAACATTCAATCATAATCACCTTACATATTTAAAAAGTATAATCCGATTACAATCAAGTCAATGTTTAGAGTCATTACATAAATTTAAATAATATCCCATTGGGGTTAAAATTTGATTCATGAATAATAAAACACCACCTAACCAGAATATTGCGAGCCCTGTTGTCATGTTTTCCCATCAATTTACAAAATATTTTCCAATAATTTAAAACACTCATTGCTAAGATGAATCTCAAGCAACCTTTGCCGAAAAACGGTGATTTTCGAGTGTTGCATAAAATTTTCATATTCCTTGCAAATGATTTGGACTGCAGCGAGTTTGACAACTTCAAGTGGCTGTGGCAGCTGCCAACCCACTGCCACTGCAACTGCCACGCCCACTCCCAATCCCAACAGCCGCCCATCATCTGCAATTCGCTGGCAGCTTCTTCAGCAATTTATGCATTCAAGTGGCAGCCAAAGGCAGCGAACAGCAAACGCTGATGATGACAATAAGGACGCTGAATCTCTGATGCTGCTCGGCGCATCCGAGAGTTTCAGATATTTTGCCATTTGTAGTTACTTGTGTATCTGTAAGATGCATTTGGCTGATTGTCAAGTGTCTCGCAGGACAGCATGCTGCCATCATTATACGGCAAACGAGATCGACTTTAAACCTCAATCTGCCGAGAAATCAAGTCAAATGGCCCTTTTAAATCGAAACAGATTCATGCACTCCTTGTTTTGATAAAGGTTTGTTTATACGAAGTAATGCCAGCTTTATTATTGAATTTCATATTTCTCCTGTCTATACTCAAATCAAAATATTTGTATTATTTATTGTTATCAAAATGAGTCTGCTTAGTCTACGATCTCACGGAAACAATCATTTAGTTTCTTCCAGAATGTTCCAGATCACTAATAATTACAGAAGATTATGTTCCTGAAATTCCCATTTCTTATCAGCTTTCTTTGTTATTAAAGTCAAAAGGTGAATGATGACTTCTTTTAAACTTTATATATTATTAGTCAGCTGAGAAAGTGCGGAAAGAATATTAAACATTGTGTACAAATTTCTAGTTATTGTTCATAACGAGTCGTTTGAAAAGTCAATTAGGCTGCGCCTTACGCAATTCCTTTATTGAATAATGTGCATTAACATTTATCAACTTTTATTTTTCCACTTTACGATCAAAAGGTTCGGTTTACAAAAGGTTTGATTAACACTTTTTTTCTGCCTCGTAATTACTTTATTTTTACTTCAGTATCAAAATGGAATTTAATATGAGGTATGTACATCCAAACTAGATTTTTACAACAGGTCGCTTCAAGGGCTTTTACTCACCTGGTAATGAGAAAACTCCACTAAGGGCCAAAACGGTCACCAAAACACCGAACAACAGCTTCATTTTAGTTCCCTTGTTTAAAACACTTATTAAGTTTTTATTTTAGGACTTTGTCGTTGTTTATTTAGGGTTCAAAGGTTTTAAAACGTTGATGTTCACCGGCAGGCAGATTCGATTCTGTTCTGTGTGGAAAGACAAACAATCGTGAAATGCGCTTAAATGATTTGAGGAAGCGGCAAATAAACGGCAAGCGAATGAGTGGCTAAATGAGTGAGTGAATAGCTGACCGCTCTCTCGCTCTTGCTCTTACACTCCCTATCCCTCTCACTCAATTATTCGCTGGGTTTATAAATATTCCAAATGGACGGATGGACGGCCAAGTGTTGTGGGAAGAACGCTCTACTGTGCTGGTTGACTGGCTGCTACATGCGAGACACCACTGTACCGGGTGCAACGTATGAGTAATATTTTTACCTTTCTCAAAAGGTACGTATCCAATTTATTAGCTTGCTTTTAATACTATTAAAATTTCAATGAAGTGATAAAATGTTAAAATAACAAAGTAGCTTGTTCTCTGTGTTTGAACAAATTCTTAACGATTTGTATAGTAGGTGAATAAAACAGTATTTTTTCTATGAATGCTGGTTTAAATAACTTATTTTTAAACCCCTTTTTTTCTTGTAAGAGTATTTAAAGGTCTCTTAAGCCACCTTTCCTAAATTAAGTTGTGTTTTCAATTTACTTAATCAGTTTTTGTCTATGCTTCGTTAGCTGCACGCGGGCTCTTCTATTCCGTTAATATTTTATTTATATTTTAGACTCTAGCCGTGTCCCTGTCACAGTTTCTGAATGTTTTTCTATTTTACGTTTTGTTTGCCATTCGCATTTTAATTCCACTTCGATTGCATTGACTGGAATTATGTCAATTCGACGACGGCTTCAATCACCTGTTGAACGAGCTTAGTGTAGAGTTCAAGGTTATCGCTTGTGTAAACGGAAAACTCATTTGCCTGTTTACCAACCAATAGGGAGACTAACGAGAATTTTCTTCCAAAGAAATCAAACAACAAAGAAAACGGAGCTAAAGATTAAACGAAATGGCGATTCTCTATAATTACATTGTTATGATAAAGTGCTTCTTGTTAATTTCCCAGATAATTCAGTCACGCCTTGATTGAGCCGAGTTCAATCACGACTTGGCTAACTATAATGCCAAAGATCAGTGTTTTATAGGGAATCGTAATGGATGTCCGTTTATGAATTATATTTTTTGACCTTTATCACCTGAGGGAGTATTAAAATCCCTCGTAAATATCTTATTATTCGGTTGGTTATCTTTGGTAAAATGAATTTTTCAAACGATTTTTATTCCTGGAAATGTTTAACTTGCTTCTCGTAAAACTTAGTAAAGATTTAATCTACAACACATTTATTGCTCAAAATATATATTTCAAGGTCCCAGAAATTGGCAACTATAAATTGTTTATAGCACTTTTACTGCCCGATAAATTTGGAAAGCATTTGTGTATGCTGGGCCCAGCATAAAAGTTAGCACAAGTAAATATTTCGCAAGCGAATGGGTGAAAATGTTAGGGGGCAAATAATTGCGCAGACAGCCTAAACAAGCTTAAAATTGTTTGTTTGTAAACATTTATGTCAGCGCCGAAGCGGAAATGGTTCACGCACACAATTCCATTCACATTCACATGCCGACACCCGCGAATTTGCATAAACTTTATTGTTGTTACCGGTCTCGTACAGTTATTTCTGTGGGTCGCTTTAAATACACGATTGGCCGGATCGGAACAGAACGCGCGATCTTCGAGGTGCGTTGGCTTTAATGAATTATTTCGGACTAAACGGTTGCGTTCGAATTTGGCTTCATTTATACCAGCTCACGTCGCCGGCACAAAGAAGAGCGATTGGGGAGAGAGAGGGACAATTGGGGAGAAGGCGGAGAACCGGAGAGCAGAAGAAGGGTCTTCCAAGTGATCAAGTTTGGTAATAAACTTTAGGTAACTCTAGCTATTATAATAATTAAAGTTTTTATACCCCATACGAAGCTTGTTTAACACAAAATTAACAAACCTGCACTTTCAAATGATATTTCCTGAATCAAAATAGAATTAAAGATGAATAAATGACAAAAAAGTGTATATTTTATTAAACGATGGATTTGATTAAAGCTTTAGGAATATCAAATTGTAATAAACACAATATATATTTTAAGGTACCCTAAAGAACCTGATTAAAAAAAAAATGAGAATTCATTGAAACGTCAGGGCCAGCAAAAGTGAATGCCGCGAATGGAACGCGGACTATGGGCCATCCCTTGACCACAACAGGTCGAGGTGTAAGAAAATCAGAAATTCAAAGCAGATAGCCGCCAGCGCCGGAGAAAGAGACGGATGCAGAGGATGAGAAAGAGGTGAAGATATAGTCAGCGACAAGGAACGCGCGCCAAGCGACGTTTTTGGATTGACAATGAAGTCCGTTGTGGCCCCTTTTACCTGAAAACCCAAGTTCCTTTATAGCTCTCGTCCAGATTGAAATCTCTAGATCGCTGAAGCTACAGCTGTTGAATTCTTTAGGCTTGAATAGGCTGAGCTTCGTTTTCTACAACTTGTAATTCTTGTCGCCGCCCCGCGAACCGGATTCTCATTTAACTGCACTTTCGTTGGTTTTATTCGGACTGCTATTTCTGTTTTACTATATACAGGTTTGATTGCACTATGCCTTTAAGTGGCAGAAGAGCATTTAAAATTAATTGCCGTTTTCGGTTAATTGTTGACACAACATTCTTGCGGTCAACAAATTCCCCAAAAACACGAATTGGTTGTCAAGGCTTTAAAGCGTGAAGAAATCGAGTCGAAATTGTCTTATTTGCAAGTGATCATCTGACTTTGCTTACTAATACATTCATTCATCAACTTTTGAATCAACTACATTTCAAAGAAACATTTTGTTCTTATTATCAATATCTGAAACGTTTCAAAAAAGCTCTAATTTTTTCTTTTTATATTTCAGATATGTTTCTCTACGTTCTACTTGATTATAGTATACAGCAATTCGTTTTCTCATGGATGTTTCCAAGTTAAATTTAGCCACATTTTAATAAAGCCAGCCACCCACAATCTATGACAAAATATTGTGCTCTTGACCTTGACACTGTTGGAAGAAGCGGGAGAAAATAGATTTTTACAAAGAAATACCTATTATGCAGAGTTTTATTTAGGGTTTGACTATTTATAGTTTGTTTTTTTTTTTACTTCTATTTTAAGTTGAAAATATAGAAGACGCCATCTATTTGTTTTTAAAATGAACTCATAAGTGCGTCATCTATCGCACATAAGTTCTTAACAGCGCTGTTACTTTTCCAGATCTGTCAGATAAATTTTATGTTATTCAGCGTTGCCATCTGAATTTAAACGTTGTCTTGGTAACGGTCTTTACAGGATTTTATTGTCAAAAGAAAAAAAAAAAAGGGAAATAGACAAAACAAAATAAAAATGTTTCGCCGTGGAAAACTAGCCTTTCTAAATACAAAAGATGACCGGATTAAGATAATAAATGAACGGATCAATCTTACAGAGCGCCATTTAATGGAGATGTGTTCTTCGTTTGCTTTGGTTACAAGGAAAATGGCCAAGTGGGTTATTGTGATAAATTGGAACACCCACAGATATATTAATTATTCCTTGCAGATACCGCGATTCCTTCGATGAGTTGGCCAAAGGTGTAAAGAGTTATGCGGATGACGAGGAAATAAACGAGAGTCTTTGCCAAGGGCTTAAAAGCTTCACAAATGCAGTCACTATAATGGGCGATTATATGGACATAAATGTGCACCGGTTGGAACACAAGGTTAGCTTTAACATATATTTGATATATAATTTTTATTCCTAGTTAAATTTTATCAAATATATAAACAGGAAAAAAAGAACTATGTATACAATAAACACACCAGGGAAAACTATATAACTATATAACTTATTAACAAATTATAACTATAGATTGTCAACGAGTTGGCGCAATTCGAACAGCTCTGCAAGTCCACCAGGGATAATCTTCGCTTGGCTGTCATAGCCCGAGATAAGGAGGTCCTTCGTCAACGCCAAATGCTAGAGCTAAAGTCAAAGTTCTCGGCCAACAATGTGGGTGAAAAAGAATACAAATTATTCCCTTAATAACCTTTTTCTCTCATTCCAGAGTGCCGCCGATTCGGAGCTATTTAAGGCCAAAATGGAAGTTCAGCGCACCAACAAGGAGATCGACGACATTATCGGGAATTTCGAGCAGCGAAAGCTGCGCGATTTAAAGCAGATCATCAGTGATTTCATCCTGATTTCCATGAAGCAACACACCAAAGCGTTGGAGGTTTTGAGCGCTAGTTACTATGACATAGGAAATATCGATGAGCGCGACGATTTTCTGGAGTTCCAGAAGCTAATGAAGACCAAGGAGGAACCGACTGCTCGCAAGGCGGCTCTTAAAAAAGGCCTGCGCTCACAATCGATGGATAGTTTGGAGCACGAACACCTGGTTAGTCCGTTGAAGAGACATCAGAAATTATCCAGAAGTACCAAGAATCTGGGAGGAGCAGGAATCAATCATGGGAGTAAAACTGAGCCCGAGGAGGAAACTGATGAGCAAGATGAAGAAGACGATGATGATGAAGATGAGGTAAGATCTGGGATATTATTTTCATTTCTGTAAATCTGAACGGATTATTTTAGGAAACCGAGCAAAGTGGCGAGGAGGAAGAGGAATCTGGAACCGCAACGGATGATGAAAGGGAACCCACACAGCCGAGCAGTCAGGTTACTCCCCGCGAAAATGTTTTTGGGGCAAAGATACGAACCACTGGCAAAGATGCCGCCGCACCATCGTCCAGTGTTAGTGCAACTTCTGCTCCTTTAAAGCCCACCAGGCAGACCGTCAAGCATCCTTTCAAGGCGGTGGCATCCACCCATGTAAGGTTGCAGAAGCAGTTTCACGTGCCCCAGCACTAGCACTGAAATTACAGCCCAAAATAGAGCTCCTAGTCAACTAGAGGTCACATCAGTATTGCAGACTATACAAGTCACACAACCAAAAATATCAACAATGCTCAACATAAATAAATACTAAGAACCAAATAAAGCTTAGCTCATCATCCCAACAGTTTCTTATGCTTTCTTGGACCACACAATTTTGTTTTAAAATCGTAGAATTTATAAGCATACAAATATAATTAATTTGAAGCTACCTACCTATTGTTTAAAAACTACTTTAAAACTATTTACCTAAACCTTATAATTTGATTTGCAGTTATTAAACTTTGAGTTACCTGCTTAAGTTTGTTTTTATAAAGTATACTTTTCTAAATTCTACCCTATTTATTCCACGCCTCATGTCTTCAAGCGAAGTGTTTAAAGCCACTAGTTCATTCCGTTTAATAAATCGGTTCCCTTTTATAAATATTTACTTTTACCTGCAAATAGCAGATTTGCATACACTTTTAATGGTCACGGCTCACGATTTGCATTATTTGTCCCAGATAAACAAGGCTAAATATATGCATAACATAACTAATCAAGCGGAAATGACACTGTTCCCTCCCCTTTTCTATTTTACCGCCCTATAACTTTGCAGGTGAGAAGGCGAAAATCGGGAGCAGGTCGCCTGGTAACCGTTGTTAAATCGAAGTCCTGAACCCCCAAGCACCAGGGATTTTACAATTCTCGAATTTTAATTATAAATACGAACTAAACGGCAATAATTCAAAATTATTGGCCTTTGCTCACAAAAGAATTACTTTACTTAAATTATGATGCTACCCGAATGGGAGAAACTTAAAACTATGCAATAAACGGATGAGCAAATGTGTTTTTTCGGAGCAACTGGGTGCGGAGGAGATTAAATGAATGTGATAGCCTGGAATTGTAAACTTGAATCGGGTGACTGGTGCCAGGTGTTCGATGTATGCATGTATCTTATGGGATTGGGATGCAGTTTCCAGATGGGCGTGGCTCCTGCCAGCGTTACGGGTCTCATTTCTCCGGTCCCTGACCCTCGATTCCTGCCTGGTTCATCAAATCCGCAATGCTCTTCTCCAGATCGTCGATCCGATTGCCCATGTCGTCGATACGCGTAATAATCTGATCGGACATCGTCTGGAACTTGTCCTGGACATTCTGCAACAGATTTTGTACCTGATAACAGGAGGCGGATTTTACTGGGTGCTCGTTGCTAGTCTCAAATTACTGGGTGGTTCCCGGATCCGGGCATTACTCACGTAAATTGTCAGCTCCTGCATGTTTTTGGGATCTGCGTTGCTGTTCAGGGAGTAGTTCTGGTCCAGATCGCTGTCCATCTCGTTTCGCAGATCGGTCATTCTGTGGCTTCTTTGTGGCGCTATATAAAAGTACAAAATTGATATCGCTTCTAGCTGTTTTGCTTCTGTTTGCAACTGCGGCTGCTTCACTTCTGCAAATTTCTTTATCAAGCATAGGGGTGGACTACGGCACGATAGACGTTTCGATATTTCTCGATTGTGGGAGTTAGCTAGTTTCAAGACTGCTATTATTTTTTTAAATTTTACTTTGCATATATTTTGGTTAATGCTCATGTTCATTGTTTTTAAGTTGAAAAACTTTACAATGTGAACTTAAATGTTAAAGGGTTTTTATATTTTTGTCAAAAAAGAATTCTTTTCAATTTCTCTAACGAAATATTTTATAGCTATTTACTTCCAGCTGTTAAGCGGACACACCGTGTTTCAGCACTGCCGTTAAAAAAGCATTGTCCAACACAACCCCACGTGGATGTTTTTTTAAGATCTGCAAATGGAAGTCGACGAGGAAAAACCACAGGTTGTTTTCAAAAACCATTTCAATAAAACATTTTTAACTTACAATTCCGTTGCAGACTATTGTGGATAATCCCAATGAGAACGTGATACGAGAACGCAACGCGGAAATCGTTTCCGGCGGCAATGTCTTCTACAATCCTGTTCAGGAATTTAACCGGGATCTGAGCATCGCAGTCCTGAATGTTTACCACCAGAGATTAGCGAAGGAGAGGATTGAGAAGGCGCTGAAAAAGCAGAGAAAGAAGGTGAAAGCGGAGGAAGATGGACAGCCTACTCCTGTGCCTGAAAAACCACCTGTTTATGAGGCCGGCACTCGCTATGAAGATGGTCTGCGGATCCTGGAGGCCCTGGCAGCCACCGGATTGCGGAGCATCCGTTACGCCCAGGAAATTGCTGGAGTCCGGCAGATTGTGGCCAACGATCTTTCCCGCCAAGCAGTTGAATCCATCAACAAGAACATCCAGCACAACAAGGTGGAGGAGCTAATAGAACCCAGCCATTCGGATGCCATGTAAATAAGATTGACTCTCATGAGCTACTTTATCTAAAAGTACGTTTCTTACAGGACCTTGATGTATCTTTCGACTCATCCCGAGAAGCGCTTCGATGCCGTGGACCTGGATCCGTATGGATGTCCGAATCGCTTTCTGGATGGCGCTATGCAGTGCCTTGTGGATGGTGGTCTTCTTCTGGTCACTGCCACCGACATGGCCGTGCTGGCCGGAAACGCTCCAGAGGCGTGTTATGTGAAATACGGATCGGTGCCGCTGCGGATGAAGTGCTGTCACGAGATGGCACTACGCATCTTGCTTCATTGTATCGAGACCCATGCAAATAGGCACGGAAAGTACATTGAGCCACTGCTAAGCATTTCAGCGGACTTTTACGTTCGGATATTCGTACGAGTGTACGTCGGCCAAGCTCAGTGCAAGCTGTCGATGAGCAAGCAGTCTTGGATTTATCAGTGCACCGGCTGCGAGACCTTTACTCTACAGCCCTTGGGCATTACGAAACCCAACCCCACAGCAGGAAATCCTCAGCAGCTGAAGTTCGGCATACCCACTGGACCGGCGGTCAACTCACAGTGCGAGCACTGTGGTCACAGGCACCACCTCGGTGGACCCATTTGGTCAGCTCCGATTCATAATCCAGAGTTCGTCCAGGATCTGCTTAATGCCGTGCAATCACCGCCATTGGAATCTCTGGGTACCCAGAGGAGGATCGTCGGGGTGCTTTCCATGGTCCAAGAGGAACTGCAAGATGTTCCACTCTACTACACTCCGGACAAATTGTGCTGCGTTCTCAAGCTGGAGATTGTGCCAATGCTGAAGTTCCGGTCTGCAATCCTCCACGCTGGTTATCGAGTCTCCTACTCGCATGCGTCGAAGAACTCCCTGAAAACCAATGCACCGCCAGCCGTTCTATGGGACATTCTGCGCAGCTGGAGCAAACGGCATCCAGTGAATCCCGAAAGGAAGATTCCTGGGACCCCTTTGGAGGCCATACTTTCGAAGGAATGCACCACTGACTACGAGTTTGACGATCTTCATCCGGAGGCCAATCCCAAGAGCCGAAAATCGGCACTGTCCCGCTTCCAGGAGAATCCAACACCACATTGGGGACCAGGAACCCGAGCCACTATTATGTAAGCATAATATTCAATATCACCTTTTTACGTTCTCTAAAACCCCTCCCATATTTCAGGATTGGCGACAACAAACTGCCCAAGAGCTATCGTAACCAGAACAAGAAGCAGCGTCATAAAGCGTCGCAACAGCAGCAGGATGAGGACCAAAAGGATGCCCCACCAGCGGTGGAAGATGAAGCTGATGCGGGGCACCTCGCCAAGCAACCCAAGCTGGAGGCAACTGCGTGACGACTGCTCCTTTGCTCTAAATTTATTGCCAATAATGTTTGTGAAACCCAAAAACGAAACCCTCTTTTCTTTGGGAAGGCAAATGTTTCTGCGAAACTAGTAACGGAAGAAATTGCCGTCGGACGTCTGGCGCGAGAATCCGTTGTTGACCAGCTGGTTGTGGACGCCGCTGCAAATTAGCTTCACGCTGTGCGGATGAATCTTCTCCTTGCAGCCGCCTATAAAATTGTAAAAAAAAAAAAACATTTTAATGCAGTAGTGCGACGATTAATATGAAAAAGTTGAATCACTGCCTCAATTTAAAATTTTTATAAAACTTGTATATTAACTTTTGTCAGACTTGATAACTTTGCTATAAAAATGTTTAAAGCTTATTTAAAATATACATTTTAAAATCTTTCAGTATACTAGATTTCGTTTTAAATTTTAACGCTGACTGACTTGACTCTTATATGTAATGTTGTTAATTATCTGAACATGCAAAAATGGTTATATACAACATTACCATATTTTGAAAACGATTTTTAGAACATGTTTTACTAAAACTCTTACCAATGCGAAGTGGATGGCCCAGGACGGCCTCCTGCTTGCGACGAATGAAGCGAGTGTTGCGCAACACGCGGAATGATTTCATCTGGGCGCCGATTTCCTTGGCAGCTCCGGGAGCCGACCAGCTGCTAATGGCCCGGCACGACTCTCGCTGCATCACGACGTCAACCTTGTCCGGGAAGGCTTCGCGAGTGTGATCGTAGCGCGACTGCAGCGTGAAGTCCAGTGCGTCTTTTGGAATGTTCGGATTGGCCCGGTAGCGCTTGCTGGAGCGCACCGAGTTCATCGTCTGGTGGTAGAAAAGCCGCTGGTACGGCTCCAGATGGCCATACCAGGTGCCCGGTTTCAAGTGGGCCTCCGGTGGCGGAGGCTCCGGAAAGGAGCACACATAAGTCCCCTCCGTATGCAATTCTGGCTGCCTAAGAACTCGACCCAGTACTAATCTGATATCAAGGAAATTTTAAGTAAAACTTACCATGATACATTTTTAACCTGCACAGTATCGTATTGAATCATCTTAGAAGATTGATTAATTTAAATTTGGGCTCAAATACGGAAGATCCGATGGAGTAAAAAAATACTGATCCGGTGTAAGTAGAACTTGGATTTCTGATTTTGCCCTTGGTTCCCCAGCAAATGTTTTGTCAATAAAATAACCGGCTGCCAAGTTTTTTGGTGCCAATGGAAACCAAAGCTTCGATAAAACTTTTCAGGACATACTTTATAGTTTTTTTTGTTTACAGATCAGATAATAATTTTAACCCTTTCGGGACGGGGTTTTATTTCGAAAACCAAGATAGTTAGAGAAAATCCTTTTTCAGATTCTGAAAGATGACTAAAAATAATTATGTACTGCATACTTGGAAATCCTGAATTCGTCCTTTTATCCTGGGACATATAATCCCAATCCGTTTTTTGGGTGGGACGTATTGTCCCAGTAGTCCCGAAAGGGTTAAGGGACAATGCCATTTCCCAAATAAATACACCAATGTCTTACTGTTTATTAAAATGAAAAGTTTATTGAATCGATATTTTTGGCTGAAAGGGAAAAGTTAATTTTAGACTCACCAAAATTAGCAGGTCGTCCCATCCGATCAAGTCACAGTTCTAAGTCCCAAGTGATGGATGCGACGCGTCCGTCGACGAGGCTCTCCTGCTGGAAATGTTTTTTCGCCTAAACTCAAAAGGGACGCCCACCAACATACAGGAAACCACCAACAACGCCAACCAGCAACAAATCGCGAGACGAGATGAGACGAGACGAGAGAAGAAGTGACGGGAAACAGGAAACTATGAGTGCCTGCCGCTCCCAGCTGCCAGCTCCCCAGCTGGGCTCTCACAATCTGGAGCTGTGGCAGCGGCCAACAGGAAACGGGAAGCTGCAACGGCAACTGCGACTGCAACATCAGCGGCACCAGCAACGGCAACGTGCGACAGCAGCGGCAGCGGCAACAGCAACAGCAGCAGCATCCGCCGCAGCAGCAACAGCAGCCACGCGATGTCCGTTCCCGGGAGGAAGGAGTTGCAGCATAGATGATGCGCTGCTGCCGATCCTCGCTCGCGATTTAACCACAATCTTATCTGAACCGCAACAACTGCCACACACCATTTGCCTGCATGTATATAATAAACGTGTGGGAGAAGCTTGTTAATAAGTTTGTCGTTAAAGGGTTACAAAGAACGGAAACGAGCAACACAAACGCAATCGAATCGAATAGAATCGAACGGAACGGAACGCAACGAAACAAACAGTGTCCTAGAGCAGTGTCCTATCACTCATCCTCCTCTCTTTCTCCTCCTGTCTGTCATCTGATATTGGGTATTAAGTTGAAGCCGTGTTAATTTAAGTTTATTATGTTTTGTTTCTGCTTTTGTTCAAGAATTTCTACTGCGCTACTAAGTTTATCAAAAGCCTAATTAGAAAGAACTGACATCGAGGGATCGCCCAGCGAGCGGGGATCTCGCTCGGAACATTATATTTTGCCTGTTCTCTGTTCTTAATTACTCTGCCAAAACTTAAAATAGTCCGCTATAAATAGTTGTGTAAAGTGTAAACTGTTTAATGGTTTGTATACCTGCTGTTCGGGTACAGCATGACACAGGAGGCGCCGCAGATATCCGGCACAGCAATCGGAAACGGGCATTGTCAGCGCGTCATATCTGAAATGTAGAAGAAATTCCGATGTTGAAATAATTAACACAAGCAGGTGTGCTCTCAATTTAAACAATACTCCGAGTTTTGTGGTAGGATTACTGTATATCTACTCACCTCGCACTCTTACAAGATGGAACGTATTTCGATGTTTAGGAGCGACTGCGGCTACGAGATCCGGCTGCGCCTACTGCTCCTGATCCGCTTCCGACTCCGTTGCGGCTGTCACCGCGCACCGGACTGCGTGAGAACTTGGAGCGGCGCTCCGGAGAATGGCTGCCAGGCGAGCGAGAACGGGAGTAGGAGCGGCGGCGAGGACTGCGAGAACGGCGACGCATCGGGGAGCGCGATCGTGAGCGACGTCGTCCACCGGATCCACCACCACCTCCACCGCCACGACGGCCGCTTGAGCTGCGAGTGGGTGACGATGGGCGGCCGTAGCGAGCCATCTGGACACGGAGCTCCCTTCCGTCCAACATGCGACCATCCATGGCCTCTAGTGCGTCCTCGGCATCGCGTTTGTCGTAGAAGCTGAAATAGAAAGCATAAACTTGATTACTCTGCACACTAATTTCATTACAGTCATGTTTAAATCAAGATTCAATTGTGGGGTTTACAGTATGTTGGCTAGCAGGGTTTTGGTAGGCAACAGTTGCAAGTAAACACAGTCTATCTGGCATCGTTTTGCTAAGGAAAATGTACAGATTAATGACTGAACATTTTCAAAGGTAGCAAATAATGCACATAGTGTAAGTCCATAAAAATAGAGTTAGGAGATTAATTACACCAGGTATCTCTAAGTTGAATAATTGTCGTATTCTCAGTATGTTGGCTAGTAAAGGTTTAGTAGGCAACAGTTGCAAGTGAACACATTTCTTCTGGCATCTTCTTGCTAAATCAAATGAACATATTTACTGAAACACCTTTTAAAATTGCAAGTTATGCGCACGAAATTAGGATAAAAGTACATATTATGTATCCTTAGTTATATAAAGCAATTAAAGAACTGTGTTTTTAGAGTGTAGTTTAATGTAGTATTCTCAGTATGTTGGCTAGTAGGAGTTGAGTAGGCAACAGTTGCAAGTGAACACATTTTATCTGGCACCCTTTTGCTACAGAAAATGTACAGATTCGTACCTGATACACTTTCGATGAAAGCAAATAATGCAAGGTTTTATATTTAGTATGGATGATAATTTTGCTTCCATGAATCTAAGCTTATGTGGTTTTACCTATGCCAATAAAAGAAATGAACTTTATGAACAATGAACTTTCGCTTTTAAAACGACAGAAGTACATGCTTTCTACAAAAAACCCAAATTTAAAAGATGACAAGTGTTTTTATTTGCCTTGTATGTTCAGATATATGTTACCCAGTAGTGCACTCAAGGCAATAGTTTGCAGGGAAAATGTTCCAGACCACCAATACTACGTAATATGTGACAGCAAATGGCTCTTAAAGGAATTACTTACCGCACGAAGGCGAATCCGCGGCTCTCGCGTGTGTAACGATCTCTAGGTATGTAGATGTCTCCAACCTCTCCACATCTTTCGAATACCCGACGCAGGTCCTCCGGTGTGGTACGGTATGTGAGATTGTCGACCTGCGAATATTAAAACACACCAATTTATTCACATGCCAAAAAAAAAGAGGTTATCTAACCGGGCAACGTTGCCAGCCGACCGCCATTTTGTAAGCGGATTTGTTAATATACTTGCCTTCAGGGAGACCATTCCATCGATTCTTGGAGGCGGACGCGCTGCGCCCAGTCCCCCGGCACTTCCACCGTTACTCATTATTTGTATAGAAATATTTATTAACACCAAAAACACACGACTGCCAAAAGCTAGTTTGTCTGGTCAAGATTTTTTCTTCTGCGAAAATGGCGTCCGGCACAAATGACGTTTGGTTCAGTGTGGCCATGCCCGTTGTTTAGATATATATCACCTGTCACACGAAACTTGCAATTATCGATAAGTGTTGAAATAAATAATTTTTGACGAGCAAACAATTTTGGTGTTTAAAAAAGTATTGTAAGTGTATCTTTGTTTCGGTGGTGTTGCCAGGTAAGGTATAAGTAAACTAACAATATTTGAAAAGGCCATTTAAAATTTCGAAATGTTTTATAATTTAGTTAGAGATTGTTTCAATGGCAACATATGGCGTACGTGCCTTCAATGTTTTTATTAATTCATGATACATTGTGCATGTATATCCACTATTTCGGTGGGGGCTAAAATCCCCAAAAAAAAACCTATCTGCGTACGCCCCTGATATCGAGAGAGAAAAAATGGTTTTTCTATACCAATAATAAATCCACAAAGTAACTGTGATTTTTTGCTGATAACTACTATGACCCACTGTACCTCTGCCTATCGATATTCCGATAATATTGTGCATTTGTGACAACCCTAATTCGATGCGTGGCTTGTAACGTGTAAAAATAATAGATTGCTAATTCCGAGCACTGCACTTAGTGTTCAGGTAATCAAATTGCACCTGAAGGTCACCAGGTGGTCAGCACTGCCTTAGACAACCAAAAGCCGAGAATCTAGAGCAAAATCGAGTCGAAACCCAGTTGGCCAAGCTAGCACATACTACTAAACACACCGAATCACAACATCAGTGAAGACTAAATATATAGTCGAAAGTCTGGCTTAGACCCCCGCTCCCCCACAATTCCCCCGGCCACTCACTATCGAGAGGTGTGTGCGTGTGTGATTTTTGTAGTGCCATTGCCATTCCCCCACTTGCAAGCCCAAAAAGAAGAAAAAGAATAAACGACCGCGTGTGTTCTGTGTGAGTGCGGGTGAAAAAGAAGAAGCAGGCCGATTTTGAAGGAGGGCGAAAGTGTGTCGCGTGAAAAAAGCGTGAGATTTTCATCGGGGGAAACAGAGGATAATACCGCAACAATGGCCGCCCAGGAAAATACCGAGATCAGCACAAAGTTCTCGACGCTGAACGTGAATGCAGTGGAATTTGTGCCCAGTTTCAGTTACAACAGCGTGGCCGCAGCGGTCGTGGCTGCGGTGGAGGATCAGGCGGATGCTCAGGCGCCGACCCCGCCCCCAGCGGCAACAGATCCGGGTCCCGCCTCCAGATCAGCCACGCCCACATCCTCATCCAATTCCGCATCGCCAGTAGCACCGGGTTCGCCCGCCACCACGCCCACTGCGGGGGCGGCAGCACCAGCAGCGGCGGTTGCAGTGGCAGCAGCACCAGCTCCATCAACGCCCGTCGAAGGTCTCAACCCCACGGACAAAATCGCAAACAATGGTAAATAGATCCCCCTTCGGGAAAACCCAAACTCTCCAACACACATACCCCCCATAAATACCACGTCCATTGAACTCTTTTTTTGTCTCCCCCTGTGACGTCAACAAAGGAGCGTGTTATTGTTGCTACCTGCTGGCATGAAAGACTAGAAAATAAGAGGGGAAAAGGGCACAAAGAAAGGAAAACGTTGAAGAAAGGTTGCTGCATTTCGGGTTCAGTTAGGTTATTATCACTGGCAGCACATAACCTCAATCTGCGTCAGCGCTGCAGTCGGCGTCGCATGTGTTGCTTTTTCTACAAAGGTCTATTCGATTTGCCAGCATTCATTGTTGTGCGGTTAAAACAAATGGCTAATCGCTTTTGGCCTGGGCGCAAAAAAAAAACTTCCATGAGCCACGGTCTTTGGCCGCTTTACACGCCGCCGTGTCGCCATTGGCGATGAGCAGGAATCACGGGAATGTTACTTTTAAATGAATTCAGTCGTGCCATTTTGTTATGAAATAACCGACCTTTCAATGTACTGTGTTTCTAAAGCTTGCTTTCAAATCCTTTCGATTTGACACGTAGAAGCTTTTTCATTTTGCATTTATCTTATCAAAAATCATAATATTTAAATCAAAATGATTTTGCGAAACCATGTTTAAAAGAAAACCCTCTTACTTTTTGGTCAAAAAATTAACAGTGTCCGTGAAAAGTCACTACCAAAACGTATATCCGTATGATATGTATGTCTAATTCTATTATCTTTGTACCTGTTGAACATATATTAACTTCGTCGCATCACTTTTTAGTTGAATATCGGGGAGTCTCGAAGAAATGATCTAATCCTGCAATGCAATACTAAAACCGAACTTTTTTGATGATTCATCATATTGAACAATATTCCTGATAAAGTGTTTTATATTTGATTTTATTAATCGAAATTCTACATTAAATGAAAGTAAAGTTATTGAAAAACTTTTTCTGTCTGGAAAAATCTATGGAATTTTGTACTTTCAATTATTACCCGGTGCCTCACTTTAAAGAATACCTAAACAAAATCTAATTCAATACAAAATGTTTGTAAACAGACTTTACTAACAAATAAAATCCAAAGTGAATTTTTATTTAAATCAGAAGATTAAAACTCATACGGGCTCAAAAAATTCCTTTTTTTGTTTTGTACATATCTCCTTGTACAAAAACAAAAACAAGTGCTTGTTTTTCGATAATATCTTTTATTTCACTCACAGTCACTTGATAAGGTGTTGCGATTCATAGCGCATCTCTATCATCCACTCACTAGTTTGCCATTCGGCCGGTGACGACAACAACCAGCTGTTTGTGCTGCCATTTTACTCCCGCTGTGCTTTATACCGTCGTTTATTTGGCCATTTGCTTTGCCCTCTCCCTACTCACACTTGCAAACTTGTCCCACCGATTCATGTGTTTTTGACACGTTTGCGTTTTTGCCAGCCGTTCATTGGAGCCTCCGCTGCGTCCAGCTTCGCTTCGCGGACTGGAATAAAGTGGAATGGCGAATGGGAAACCGGGCATATGGCATATGGACTTCCCGTCCGTTCAGCTGGCTCACTCGTTATCGCAGCGACTCCACCGTAGTTGTAGTTGTTTGGCCCGAATGGAAGCGCTTAGTGCAGCTCGCCGGCGGTTGAAACCGCTTCGAACCCGATTCCATGGCGTTTGGCTGTGCGGCAGCGGCGGCAAGCAAGCCAAAACGACAAAAATGTGCTGTTGGCTCTTAAACTTTCGCGCGATCACAGCTCGCTCATCCGCTCCTGTTACCAATTTGTTAAATTTTTATGTATCGCAATCATGAGTAAGAGCGCCGGCCGCTATATTTACTCCAAGAAACCATCGGCGTCACAGTGGCGGAAAAGTTAGTACACCGGTAGTCGGGATGTCTTTTATTTATGTGTCGGAATCCACTTCGAAACCCCCATCTTCAAATGATGTCCCGTGAGGCAAAGGTTCGGGATCCTAACGCTATAAATCCACTATTCGAGCACGTTGTCACCAGCACTCCAATGCGGCGCATGACTCATCTGGCTGGCTAGAGCCAGTAATTACCAATTAGCATGTGGCCGTCAGGTCAAACAAAACTAGACTTACACTAAATGGCCGTGAATGAAGTATATAATTAATAGTGCTTACCTCAACTAGGTTATAAACTTACTCCTATGAGACTTACTTTAATGTTGTAGCCAATTTTCACAAGTGTAAATCATCTTCAAGTGCTTGCATGAAAAAACTTTCCTACATGTCGACCTTATTTCATAGAACGGTATTTGCACAGTTGTCTCTTGTGCCAAATGAAAAACTTAGGATGTACTTCACTAAGAGAAATTGGAATTTACACTTTCAAATTTTTTCTAAAAATATAGTTTTCAACCTAATTTGCAAGTGTGCCAACGTTTAATGAGACACGTTTGTATCTCCCAAGTAAAGTACACATTTGCAAAGATACCCCTTCTTTAAAAATAGAGAAAGTTCAAGTTAATTGTGTCTTACAATAACCTTTCTATAAACTGATACGATGGTGTGGAAAATTCCCAGAAATAACATGAGGCGAAATTTAATTTATTTTCCCCAAAATCCATTCACACGTTCGGTTTAAAACTGGATTGATCCAGTGCATGTTTTGAATTTTTTGTGACACTTTAAGAGCACTATTTTATTCGTTTTTTTACATTGCCTTAGCTTAAAAACTTATCACGATTGCAGAGACACATCACGATATTTCACGATAATTTATATAAATATTTTGAACCCAAACAAATATTGTCACATGCATTGCTGTACCAATCGTTGGCACAATTATTTCTAACAAAACAAACAAGCATGGATACTCTCGGCTTTCCATGACACTCTACACCTTATTCCCCAGCAACTAATTGCATTCCCTCACCCAAATACCGCGAAACTCCCTGTAAATTACTCAAATAATGACGATTTGTTTGCTTGCAGAAACCGATCCCGCTGACAGCTGGGATGTGGACGATGCAGTGATCACGCCCGAGGACGAGGAGGTGGAGGATGCTGAGTTCACGGAGGGCGAGGCCACGCCAAAGGTCTCCAAGAAGAAGGTGGTCAAAGTGGAAGAAAACAGAAGCAAGCGCGAGCACGTGAATGTTGTGTTCATTGGCCATGTTGGTAAGTTAATGTGAACTATATTGGTGCATTGAAACCTCTACTAATCATGGTTTTTCTACCTTTTAGATGCTGGCAAATCAACAATCGGTGGACAGATCATGTCGCTCACAGGAATGGTGGACAAGCGGACGCTGGAGAAGTATGAGCGGGAGGCGCGTGAGAAATCGCGCGAGAGTTGGTACTTGTCCTGGGCGCTGGACACCAACCAGGAGGAGCGCGACAAGGGCAAGACCGTCGAGGTGGGACGTGCCTTCTTCGAGACAGACCGCAAGCACTTCACCATCCTGGACGCGCCCGGCCACAAGAGCTTCGTGCCGAACATGATCGGTGGGGCGGCGCAGGCCGATCTCGCCGTGCTGGTCATCTCGGCGCGAAAGGGAGAGTTCGAGACGGGCTTCGACCGCGGTGGCCAAACCCGCGAGCACGCCATGTTGGCAAAGACCGCGGGCGTGAAGCATTTGGTCGTGCTGGTCAACAAAATGGATGATCCGACGGTCAGTTGGGATCAGACGCGCTACAACGAATGCAAAGACAAGATACTACCATACCTCAAGAAGCTGGGCTTCAACCCGGCCAAGGACCTTACCTTTATGCCTTGCTCGGGCCTCAGTGGCTACGGCCTGAAGGACCAAATCCCAGAGACGCTCTGCCCCTGGTACCGAGGGCCCGCCTTCATTCCGTTCATCGACGAGCTGCCCTCGCTCAACCGCAAGTCTGACGGGCCCTTCATCATGCCCATCGTGGACAAGTACAAGGACATGGGCACCGTCGTGATGGGCAAGGTTGAGTCCGGAACGGCGCGCAAAGGCCAGAACCTCTTGGTGATGCCAAATAGGGTGAGTGTTTGCCGCTAGCTTACATTTGGCAAGGTACTAATTTTTATTTTCTTTAGACACAAGTGGCTGTGGATCAGTTGTTCTCGGACGACTTTGAAGTCACATCTGTTGGCCCCGGCGAGAACGTCAAGATCAAGCTGAAAGTAAGTGTGTTCTTAAATTGTGATAAAATTGTTTATGCACTGCACTTAACCTCGCTATCAAAAGTCTATAAAATCTAAATAATAAATGATTAAAAAAACTCTTAGAAAATGTATCCAAATTTACCCAACAAGCTGTCATTGATTGTTTTGTACTAATCGGAAACTTTTTTTTTATTTAACTGCAGTATTGTATCTTATTTAAATATGATGATATTTTTATAAAGAAATACATTTTTTTTGATTTACTTTCTAAAAGAAACATTTTACCTAAATTAAATACATATATGTATTTATTGATGTATCCTATTAAGGCCCAAAATTTGTCAATTACTATTTAATTTTAAAAAGTTTTGTCAATTTTTGTTTCTAACATGTATATAATTTTCTACCAACTTTTTAGGGCATCGAGGAGGAGGATGTCTCGCCTGGTTTTGTGCTCTGCGATGCCGCTAATCCCATCAAGACGGGAAAAATCTTTGATGCTCAGGTCGTAATCTTAGAACACAAATCAATTATCTGTGCGGGTTACTCGGCTGTCATGCACATACACTGCGCTGCCGAAGAGGTCACAGTTAAGGTGAGTCAACATGTTATACACATGTTTCTGATATAGAAATATACTTATTTACTCTCGTTTAATAGGCCCTCATCTGTTTGGTCGACAAAAAGACTGGCGACAAATCAAAAACACGTCCACGGTTCGTTAAGCAGGATCAGGTTGCCATTATGCGTATTGAGTGCTCCGGAATGATTTGCCTTGAACAGTTTAAGCTATTCCCACAAATGGGCCGATTCACGCTCAGGGATGAAAGTGAGTATAATCGTAACATTTGTTAATAGAAACGCCCCTAATGAGTATTCCTTCGTTTCAGACAAAACCATAGCTATTGGCAAGGTGCTGAAGGTGGTCGAATAAATTGATCAAATCTAAATTCGAGCGCCCGCCTTTTACTGCGATTTTTGAGATAGCATTGCACGCCCGATGAGAGATAACACCACAACAACAGCAACGCCACGCCACGCTTTCTTCACATTTGACAATTCCACAAAATCAGTACACACCCACGCTCGAGCTCTCACTCACATATGGATACTTTACTTTCTACCAACAATAGCAATTGATTATACATTGATTACACATTGATTATAGAAGGGTTAAATAGGAATCGAAACGAAACAGAACGGCAATGTAGAGTGCATTATAAGAACGGGCAGGCGAAAAGTTAATTTACAACCCGGACGCAAGGACGAAGAGTTCAGAGATAGAAACAGAAATGCATTATATACGAAATATAAACTATATTATGTATAACTAAGCGGCAAAATCGGAAGCAGCGAACGCGAAACAAGATGAACTATTTATATATGTATACACAACAAACCACTCACACGTATATATACATAATGTATGCGAGGGAGAGGAAGCTGGAGAGGAGCCGCGATGATAACTGATAGGGCATTAATGGATTCTTGGAACGATTTTGTTTGTTGAGGCCCTCTCAAGGATATTGAGCATTAGTCGCCGTCGTCGTTTTAATTTGGTTTACTACTTTTGTATAAACTGTAAGCATCAAATAGCGTACACGTACATGCCTAAATCGCGCGCAAGTCGTGACATTTTTAATACTAAAACTAAAGCTGCAAGCTACCCAATTTTTTGTATTTGTACAAGCGAGGAAATGTTCCCAGCAACCACTCCTTCCCCATCCAGCCTCCTGTATGCGCCTTTTAAATTGCAAATTTGTTAGATACCCCACAAAAACAATATGATATTTCTGCTCTTCTTTAATTTAAGTTTAAGCTAAAAGAACATGAAGTAAAGTTTGTTTGATTTGTAAGCTCAAAATGATAATTCTTTGAAGCATTGAAGAACACGGCGGAAAAACAAACATTTATCACTTACGTAACCATCTAATTGTTAACTTTAATCTTAGCCCTCTGATAATCCCTCTTTATTTTGCTGATTCAAAGAATATTTGATTTTTTTATAATTAGTTAATTGAAGAATTCGTGAGAATCGAACACGAAACCCCCTTATGAAAAAATAAAATGCCTTTTGCTACGAAGCAGAAACAAAAACACAAAGGATCAAAAGTTTTTATTTTTGTTTATCCCCACATATTTTATTCGCTCATTTGGACCCAGGACCAAGGCGGTTTCAAAACAAACATCCCCCGTCATTCAGAATCTGTCTTCCCCAACCTTTTCATTTGAAATTCAATCTTTGTTGAAACTTAAAGTTGTTGCCCTTACCGACACAAGTAAATAAATAAAATAATATCAATTAAGCACGTTGAACAGTCCGCTGTCTAAGTTAATTTAATTAACTGATTAATACTTAAACCGAGAACATATTTAATGAAGGACTTAAACCTGCTTTTAACGCTTTCGCAGCCTCCTACGAATCGAACTCGAACGATAATTAATTCATATTATTGTAATAATACTAAGTGCGATATAATTGTTGACAACGCGGAAACTTATTGAGAATGTTTCACACATACACCCCCAACACTGACACTCAACCAAATCACACGCGAGGACAGACCGGAAGTCGAAAACTACGCCACTGAGGAATAGGAGCGATCGTAATAATAGAAATTATATAGACAAAACGGGAATATTTATACAGAAAACGAAATTCAAATGTATTATTATTATACATATGCGTATAAAACGATGAAAAACCAAACGATCTGCATAAATTTGAACATTTTTTATCAATAAAAATGAAAAGAAAATAAAAAAGAAGAAGACTAAAAGAACCAAACAACGAGTTTCCTTTCTATAATACCTTCTAAGGATTTGAAAAAACTTACGGGAGTAATATTTGAGTGGAAAGCATATTTTAGTTAAAAATGTTTATTTATATACATACGTACAAATAAATTCTTTTAGTTTTTTTTATTAAACTAAGCATGGTACATGGTAATTGATCTTAGCGCATAATACAAGTAAATAACAATTGTACACTGAAACAACACATTGGAAATTACAAAACGCATATCCTATCAAAGAACGGAAAGTTTGTACATATGGCTGTGGATTCTTGGATTCGCCAGATCCTCTTTTCTTTCCCAAAACTTATTGAATACTCGGAACTTGTGTGTATTATACGAATCTACTCCTTATAATCGAGTATCACGGATGGGTTTCCTCTTTAGTATTCCTCCTGGTCGGATTTCCTGGCAAGGAGTGGAGTTATGGGTTTATCCCTTCTGTTGGCACGCTCCTCTTCCTTGGCCTCCTTGTCGCCATAAATGTCCAGCGTCCTTCCGTAGTACCAGACGAGGTAGTCGAAGAACATTCCCACAAGGGTCAGCACTGAAATGATAGAAAAAGTAGAGTTTTAGAAGAATATTATAAAAATGTTTATAAATTGTATTTATAACTAAATAATAAGTAAAAGTTTAGCGAGTTTAAAAATCGTCATTTACAACAACTTTACAATACGGCATTTAGTGCATGTTATACTTTCAAATGTATCCCAACTTGAAGTCAAACCAATAAGGATACTAGCAAAAACATACTGCAGTAAAAGTAAGTTAAGTCCACAATATCAAATCGGTTTCAGCAAATTAAAATCCAGGCTGCATCAAAGTAACAAAAACCTTAACAATTTTAAAAAACGAAAGAATTAAATATTAGGATATTAATTTCGCTTCGAATAGGATCATTTTACTTAGCCAGCTAGCAAGTGGTTAAATATGATTATTTTAATTTTATCGTATAATGAAAAAAATCTTGGAGATTAGAACTTACTGCAGGACAAAAAGTTGGTGGAGTAGCGGAAGCGGGTTTGGTCGTACAACTGGCAGTTGCCATTGCCATTGCAGGTCTTCGTCCACACCAAGCACGTGGAGTCGATAAGACGGCCGAAGATAATGGGACCCGGGATGAGGGCGAACAAGCTGATCATCATTAAAGCCAGACCCTGGGCGAAGGACTTATCTTCGCGGGCGACGGCTCGATAGTTGACCAGGATGTTGCCCACGCGTCCGGAAGAACCGAACCAGCTGACGATCATCGATGTGATGGAGAAGGCCCAGAAGCTCCACATGCAGTTCTGCGTACAGATTCCCGGCCGGAGCACCGAATCGGGAGTGGATCTCCTGGTCCTGGACAGCAGCTTCTCCTCGAAGTCCCCTTCGTCGTTGAGCAGTGGCACTTCGGACAGGTAATCGGTGAAGTAAGTGGTGTCGTCTAGTTCCGGTTGCGGCGTGGGTTCCAGTAGCTTGAGGAACTTTTGGACCGCACTGGGTGAGCCGGTTCCATTGGCCACACAACTGCAGTCCTCGTACAACTTGGAGGTGGCGTTGTACCCACGGCATCCCGCGTGGCAGGCCGAGAAGAAGGTCATGGCCGTGGGCTCGTGGCAAACGGGCGTGTAACTGATCCCTTCGCAGGAGCAGTTCAGGTTGCAGGAGCTCGTCAGGTTTAGTCTAGGATTAGAATAGGAGTATCGCATATATATATTTTTATTTTACGGTAAGCCAAAGAATAGAGAACAACTTTCATTTTGGACCAGATATTGAGCTAGTAGATTTTAAAATTAAATTATGTAAAAATATATAAAAATAGATTTTCCCTTTTTTTTTTATAGTTTTATAACCCATGATGTCTAGTTTAAAAGGGACAATTTTTTTGATAGTTTCTTAATATTTTTTTAATGAAAATTAAATAGGAAATCTTTAATGTTTATTTTATACTTACTGTCCCACATGAGCCATGGAGAAGGTGTCCGGGCAGTAGAGGAAGGCATAGGAGATTGGCCCCAAGACGGAGACCCCGCCAACCAGCACGTTCCACATGAGCACCTTGCTCACGTGGGGCTTCTTCTTGGACAGCACGAGACCGGAGCCAATCAGACCCACGACCATGCCCAGAATGGAGATGGGACCAACGACCTAAATAAACAATGGGTTATTACTTAGAAGAAATCAAAGATAGTAGCGTTTGTAATTAATCAGAAGTAGTCATTTCCATTTAGCCTGCTAAATTGAATTCCCTAAACTGCATAAGTTAAAGTCAATTTATTAAACTCACAATGGTAGCACTTTGGGGATCCTTGTGGAACTGCACTTCCATGTATTTGGTGAGGAAGGTCATGAAGCCGGAGGCTCCCAAGATGTAGAATACCCCAGAGAGGATGTTGAAGATCAGCAACTTGTTGCGCAGCAAACCCATGAGGGCCTTCGGGAAGTCCTTCAGCTTGGGCAGATCCACATTGGCACCCGCAGCCGCTCCAATATTATCCAGGGCCGCATTCGAGGAGAAGCGGCTGCTCAACGACAGGTTCTCCTCCCGCTTGAGCTCCTCCTTCGTCTGACGAAGGGCCAAAGGCAAATGGGAGTTGGTCTTCGCTGGGTCATTGATCTTGGGCAGCTGCTTGGGGAACAGTCCGATGAGACCTGAGAACAGGCACATAAGGGTTCCCAGGATCACCCAACCAAGCCACCAGGCTCCCAGCCAGCGGGGGTCCTTGCTGTCGATCAACGGAGTCTTGCTCGGATCAATGAAGGTGTTCAGCGACAGGTAACCTGAGGTGCAAAATAAATTGAGTTATTAAGTGAATGTCTTCAAAAAAAAAGTTGCTGTGTTTTGCAGAACAAAGGTTGGGAAAAAACTCAATTCCTTGCTGGTTCAAAAAAAAACAATTCATTTTAAAACAATTTAGTGCACTGGTACAATAAAATCGTTAAAATTGAGACAACCTGGATATTTAATTGCTTTTGGATATGTGAATAATTCTCAACTTGAAGGCAGGTCTGTATGTTACTGCTGTGCCATTGTCGATTAAAGAACATGTGTTTTTAAAAATTTTAAGAGATTGCTAATTTTGTATTTACCGGGGTATCACAGATATATCTTCAAACTCAATTCGTTAACCTTTGATCTATAAGTTAAATTCAATCGATATCCCAGATACAATTGTGATCTGCCTCTTCTGCGTTCGATAAATTGCACGTGAACTTGCTTTAAACATACCGAAAAAGAATCCAACGACAGGACCAATCATCCGGAGGGCCATGGCCACCGCCAGCATCAAAGGAGTGTTCGTCCTCTTGGCGTTGTCGTCGAGGTAGGTCTGTCCCAAAGAGAAGTACAATGTGTTGCCCACTCCCAAAACGAGTTGCGAGAGGAAGATGAGCACCAGTGGCACGTAGGAGAAGAGATCGTCGCAATCATCCTCGCTTTTGCCCACTCCACAAAGTCGCTCAGACTGGGAAGAGCTGATGTTCTGCGGGAATAAGGATAATTTAGAGGGGTAATTGATACACATTTAGATATAGGGTATAGACCAGGCAACTCACCAACAAGGGCTGTCCCGCATCATAAGTGCCATTCAGAAAGCTCTCCTGGTACTCCTTGGTGAACTGAAGGACTTCGTGACCAGCTCCGTAGATAAAATGCGGCAGGATGAGAATAAAGCAGGACAGTCCACAGAAGACGATACCCCAGGCGATCCATCGGGGTCGGTTGCGCTGACCACCGATATAGGAAAGGATGAGGGACAACATGATCTGCGAGATTTCATTACCGCTTAGGATAATGCCTGAAAAAAGAATGTTTAAGGAAATTAAAAATCAGATTACAAAATATATTTAACATATATTAAAAAGAAATTGAAAAGCTGAACAAAGAATGTTTAAGGAAGAGTGTTCTACCATGAATTGCGAAACATTATGTTAAAAACATTAAAAAAACTTCAATAACATTTTTTTTTTGGAGGTATCTTAATCTTTTTCACTTTTAAAAATTAAAAACAGTTATTTAAAAAAATTGTTATAATTTCTATTATTGCTCGAAATAAATTGTAAATCTTTTCAATTAATAGTTATTTAAATCTAGATATACTTGTTTTCAAAAAAATATTTATTGTTGTATAAAATGTAGTAGGTACTTTCATTATTTAAGTAATAGAAGAAACCAATTAATGTAGTACCTGTTGTTTGGCTGGGAATCTTGAAGCGCTTTTCCAGCGTAGTGAGCGTGACGATTAAGTACATGTAGGACATGGCCTGGATGGTGCCGAGGAGTCCGTAGACGGCCATGAACATGTTGGTGGTGGCGTACTTCTGCAGCCAAGCGGGGTGCCAGTTGGCCATGCCGCACAAGTAGTGCCCGGGTGGGGTGTTCGACCCCCGACGCTTCACTTCCGCCATTTTCGGTTCCGTAACGCCGGCGACTGCGGGATGCTATTGTCTTATCTGTCGACTTCAAACAACCATCGATTTCCAGAGATAAGATCCCCAACCCGGCTTCTTGGTAGACAGTTAAATGGTTGAAAGTTATCTGCAAGGGACACATCAAGTGAAACCTTGTAAGTCATGATGCATTTAGAATTCTCGATAAAGGGATTTCACATTTTCAAAGTTAGATTTCGTATATTTCGCCACGCTCTCCGTTAACTGAAAATCATTCTGGTAATCATGACTCTCGGGATCTTAGAATTTTCAAATATCGTTTAGGGCTTATAAAAGTTGTCGATAGGGAAATACGCGGAATTGATTAGGAGTCGATAATAGGGGCTACTCAAGATCACATTGGGTCTAGGTTGAGGCGATTAGATAAACCGGTATTCCTTTGCCAAATAAGCGATATCTATATGGTGGGCGCTGCGTTTATAAACAGCAATATTTACCGCATAACGATGACCACTAAGACATCTCTTCTTTACTAATCACACCACCTGCCAAATTAATTCAATTAATTGCTCCCAAAAAAGTTGTGCAACGTTTATTTGTTATCAATCCAATAATTTGCTAATAACGTTCCCCTAAAAAAAGTATAGTTAGTATTTTAGGGCGCTATTAAGGCAACGCACGTTTAAGTCTTGATATTCTTGGGCATTATCAATCATAATTACGGTCTTTTGTTGTTATTTGAACCAAAAACCATTAACCATTAACTGAAATCAGTTGAATGAACTGAAAACGCTAGACAACAAATTAGGTAGAATTCAAGTTCCGCAATGTAATTCCTTGCTTATCACGTTATTGAATAAAAAAAGTTCTTTTATGTGACTCAGACAATTTCATGGCTTTTTTATTGGCCAACAACAAATGTTTTTGGTACAGAAGGCTTACCGACGTTTTGATTTGAAATGTTGAAGTGATTGATTAGTAAAAAAACGTTCACGTTGTAACTGCCTAGTTTGTCATGGTTGAAAAGCACACCAAAAAAGCAGCTATACAATTTTATCCAAATTTATTACTTTAAAGTTATGCAAAAATAAATTAATTACAAGGCAATAAAAAATTGTTTTTATCAATCAATAAATAGTACATAAAATTTCATTAACATTTTTTTTTATTACACAGTCTTTTCTTTATTGAAGTTTGCACTTTGTTTTAATAAAATATATTTTTTAATATTTCTGGGGATATTCCTATAAGTCTTGCTAAATAATTATGAAATATAGCCGTTAAACTAAACCTTTAAAATATATGCAAAATTTGTTTGATTGATATTAAATATTTTGAAACACTCGATCTAAACATTAAATTAAATCACCAACAAGGACACTTATCAAAGAACTGTCGGGAAAGTACGATTTATAATAAGAATTAATTAAATTTCGAAACTCAGGAAGACTCTCCACGGAGGACACTTGCAAAGTGTTCTCCACAGGTGTTTTGCGCGGAAATGGCTACCCCAATGTCGAACGACGAATGCCGCCTCGGTATCGCCAGCAATTAGATTACCAGACAGGTGTATGGTACGTACGTTTTCCGAGTCGAGTGAAGAGGAGGCTATATAGTGCGCATATTATCAATAGTGGTCAAAACTGTGGTCACGCTCGTCTAGTTTACGGTGCAATCTAATCGGCACTTATGCGATTAATTAAATGGCCGCTTGTTCGCGCTCCTTTCGCGAGGAACTGGCGACGATGCAGCGCGGAGGTGAGTGGGCGGAGATAGTGATGGCCGATCCGAACCGAATCGTGGCGCGAGTAAAACTGAGAAACGGAATTTAAAAATTCCCAGGCGGGCCGCCGTGTCCGCCGCTCGTTGGAAATCGAAGCCTGATAAAGCTTTATCAGTCCATAAAGCCGAAGGAGGGAACAATCGGTTCTCTCATCGTCCGCAAATCACCTTTTTTGACATGTACGAGTAGTGCGGTATCTCGGGAAACCTTTGGCTTATCGGAAACCTTTGTTTTCCCCTCCGTGGAGAGCAGAGTGGCTCTGTGGCTCAGTGGAGAGTTCAGGCGGAATCGCAATGACAATACAAAACAGACAATAAAAGAACGCGACAATGACATTATTATTACGATCTGTAACCCCCATGCCGTCCCCATCCGCGACCCCACGCGATTAGAATTGTAAGCAAGTGAATTAGCAGAATGTGTAGACTATGCCGCATGTGCATCAAAGAGCGTGGGCGAGGGTCGCCACCACAGTTGCGCCTCCTCTACGTGTCCGTCTTGACGTGCAGCTCGGGATCGTTGGCGTTCAGCATGATCCTGTTCTGGCCGATCGAAAGGATCATCGCCATGCCGATGCAGAGTATGGACACGATTATCAGCATCACGAATATGGTCTGCGAGAGGGCCGGCGTCAGCACTACGGAGCAGCTCCAGCAGGGCTTCACCTCGTAGTTCGAGTCCATGCCATTGTCCTTATCTAGAAGATTAAATAAAATAATTTTAAATTTTATCTTTTTTGTTGTATATTTTATTTATTTTACACTTTTTTTTATTATTCGTAATTGACAAGGTAGGCCAACGACATAAAAAAAGTATACAACATGTTCTTAACCGGAAATGATTCGTTTAGAGACGATATAAAGTCATCAAAATAATTACATAAAAAGTTAAACGTAAAAAATAATTGAGATATTATGGACAAAACGTAGTTTTGAACTTGCAAAAAATATGACAACAAATTAGTTCTTTGTCAAATTATTTGATGAACTTAAAATCAAAAACCAGTATTAAATAGTTGGTCTAGATTATCGTTTGTAAAATTGACTAAGATTATATGGAGAACTGTTCAAAAACTTATTGTTGCTTGATTTAAGAAGGATTTGCGAGGAAAATATATATTGATTAAAAGGTGTATTAATTTTTTAAATAGATATTTCAAGTCTACAAATATTTGTTTTGTTTTATAAAATATCATGCACATTTATCTTAGATACTTTAATAGTAGTTAACAAATCAACAGATGAAGCGATCTGCTGGCTCATCTAATTTCCAAAGCTTTTTTATTTCTAATCAGAAAAGAACTTACCTAGGTAAAGGATGTCCAGGTGAAAGTCGAAGAAGGACAACCGCGCTGTGTCGCTGGCAAAGACGGTGATGTCCGAGCAGCAAAGGCTGAAGTCGAACCCGAAGAAGATGCGATCGCGGGGATAGAAGGTCTTATTGCCACCGAAGATGATGCGGGTGAGGTACCAGTTGCCGAGCGAGGGCACCAACTCCAGGATTAAGGGACTGAGGTTCGTGGTCATGACCACAACAATGCCCCGCTTGATGTCCCTGCCATTCAGCAGACCCACCTGCACCTCCCCTTCTCCCTCGGTAAGGAACACTTGCGTCCGGTTGTAGGGCACCTGCACTCCTTTCCCGATCCTCGTGGCCATCAGGATGCTCTTGAAGGCCACGATGACCATATTGTGCCTCAAAACGGTGATATTATCAACCATGTTGTACGTGAACTCTGGCTCTCCTAGGCTCTGATTAAAGGAGGGCCCTGAACTATCCGTATCGATGCCCTTCGATGGATCCATTTGAATGGGCACAGGACGGGTTTTGTACGCCTTCCGACGCTGGTAGGAGCGGTCCTCCTCCGTGTAAGCGGTGTACACATGCACCACCGGACAGTCGCTGAACTGGTAAGTGGCCACCGCCATGGCAGCGTCTTAAATAATATAATTCATATAAATAAATATTAGTTCAAACTAGCTATTTAAGTTAGCAATTAAAGTAATCAAATATTTAAAATTGTCAAAGTTCTAACACTCCTTTAAATTAAGTTAATAAAAATAAGTCGCATTAAACTATTTTAATTTCAATGTGCTCTGAATATCTTTTTGAAGCGTGTTATTTGCTATGAATTGGCAAATAATGTTTAAGTTGAATTCATTAAACCGCACGGAAAGTATGAAAGTATTAAGAAATTAAGTTTCAAAAATGTTTTTTTAATGACATTTCTCCAAGTTCTTAAAATTTAGTAAATTATTTGTTCTTTATAAACTTTATAACCTGATGTATATTTTCTGGGTAACAGTGTTGTATTCAATGCAATTTATAAATAAATTAAATTCTGTCAATTGAATATTTTAATAATTAGATTAACTAACCATGAGCAAGCACATTACGATCGTTGAAGTTGAAGGCGTGTATCTGCCCCTTATTGCAAGGCAGCTCCATTTCCAGTTCCAGCTTTCTGATATCCGAGATTATAGGGTTGTGATAGACAATCTCTTCGGTTGCTCTGCTGACCCGCCTTATCGCCTTTAAAGGCTCTTCCACTTGAGTGTAGAAATTCATGGGATGAATCTTGCTCAAATATGGAAAGCAGACATCACAGTTTATATCCTTGGCGGCCAGCTAAATTAACAAATTGGTATGTGTTTAAAACCCATTATAAAAATATATGAAACTATTTACCTCAGAGGCTAAATAAACTACTATCATATTGTCCTTTTGCATATTTTTTATCATTTTAGAGAACTGTGAGTTTGTTACAGGGCGAAAAATGCTTGTGGCCTTAGGACTGCGAATATATTTTTTATAAATATTATATTTAACAATGTTGTTAATTACTTACGTATCAACTCCCCAAATCAGCACCGGAGGTGAACTTGTTACTTTTGCAGTCACTATGGAAAAGTTAATAAACATTACAAGACATACGGCAAACATTTTGAATATTTCTGTTAACTTGATAAAATTCTTTTTATTTTAAAACCTTTATATGTTGTGATGACTTTAAAGTGAATAAAAATTCAGGGTTGCTTGTTTGCTTTACTAGACTTGCTTACAAGCAATTTTGTTTACATTTTTGTTATTAAAATTAACAACACTTAATTAACATTAAAAAATATTATTTAATTGGTATGTGAAATAATACATTCAATTAAATAATATATTTTTAAATGATTAAATAATAATATTAAATCATACTATTTAATAGTTTAACTAACTCTCTTAAGCAATTAATTTCATGCTTAAAATAATATTTTCATAATTTAATTAATTTGTTTGAAGTTTTAAACCGAAATTCTGAGCAACAGGGACTTTTCTAGATTTTATCAGCCATTTTATTTCAAGTTAGATTCTGATAATTACGATCTTACTTTGCTGGCAATGTTTAGACACTTGTTGCCCCAACATGTTGCCCCCGAACCAAAAGCATGCGTAAGCGGCGGCAATAAAGTTGCAATTAATAAGAAAAACAAAAACCCAGCGATGATAAGATAGGAAATGGCTTATCAAATAAAAAGAGAGGGCATGGGTTCTAGCCAGGTGGAGCTCCTCAGTTAGCTCTCGTACCCCTTTTTCGAATAGACGTTAGTGCGGTCTTAACGCGGCTAAGATGCCATCGGTCCAGGGCCACTAACTATAGTAATCAATAACCAAATACAACGAGCGAGTGAGGTGGAGTGAAGTGAATAGAACCGAATCCGAAATCGAATACGAATATGGCGCAGAATACGCGCAACTCCGATTTATCGCAGATCGCGGTCAATGCCAACAATATACCCGATGGTGGGTGACCCAAAAAGCTAACCGATTTCGTATAATCTATTGAGAATGTTTTTTCCAACCCAATCAGACAGCGTCGATTGCGGCATCAAAGGATTGGGCTGGTGTCGCGGTCCAGGATGCCAGAAGTTCGCCAGACTTCGCACCTTCGTCCTGGTTTTGGCCATCTCGGGAACCTTCCAGGGAGCCTGCGAGTCCTACTTCCGCGTTTCGGCCAAACAGGCCGCCTTTCAGTTCGGCTACAGTCCATTGCTAGTGGGTGAGTAAGCCACATCGCCACATTATCGCAAAAACGGGAAAAATGCTAACATTACGGTGGGAAAGATAATTGAGGTGTTGGCCCGGTTCTACGTGGAGATTTCTGTTCGGTTATCAGTTTTGCGATATTGTTGACGATTGCCAGTGTGTTGGGGTCGGGGGAGCTGTCTTTTATTGTAGACCTGTTTCCCCAGGTCGAAATGGAATATTTGTTTTGACTCTTTAACAAATTTATTTACTCTCTAAAGCAGTTACAATATTAATTAAACGGTATAGAACTTATGGGTAAAAATAAATAATATCCATAATAAATTTAAAGCGTATTTACATATTAAGAAGTACAATAGTACATAGTATTTCTTTTTTACAAAGTTATTACTACAATCTGCGAGGTACCTTTTTTTCGATCTACTCAAGTTTACCTTTATAAAATTGATTGTATTTTTATAGGGCGGGTAATACATATTCGTCATCGTTAAAAGTACGAGGAGAAATGCGTAATCAGAGCAAAAACTTTTGTTCAGCTGCCTCGGAAGCGACAAAGTAAAATTCTCTCTCAGCGAAAGTGGCTTTCCCTCAATTGAAGTTTGACTTTAGATATAGAAAATATACTGTCCACTGTCTCGTTACTCATACGTCATATCTCCGTCTGTGAATGGGTTAGATAAGGCAACCAGGGACTCACCAACGCAATTTCTAAACACCCGAGTGCTTTATTTATACATTCTCTATTTTAAACCCCACAGATTGGCTGCTGGTGGCCAGTGGATTGTTCCAAGCTGTTTTTGCACTGGCTTTTGCCTACTGGGCGGACGTCTTTCATCCCATCAAGTGGTTGGTGGGAACTCTGATGCTGCAGGCGGTCACCTGCGTGGTTTCCGTGATTCCATCCATTATTAACTTGTGAGTAACTATTACATTGCAACTTACATAACGAAAAGGACAAAGAAGCGAGGGATGAATGAATTTCACAACTGAGGAAATGAGTAAAATAAAAATAGAACAGGAGAAAACATATCTATTAACTAGCATTTAAATAAATACTGTTGTTCTTAAAAAATATTATTAATTTAACAATGAATGAATTATAATAATTAACGAATCGAGAAATATGCTATATAAAGACTATATTAGCTGACTTTAAAAGGAGCGATTTATTCTAGCATGTGTTTTTATAGTTTTCTTTTATAAATTAATTCATTTTTGGATAACCCATTAATGAACTAGATTCTGTAAAAACAATTTTAAAGAGTTCTGGTATTGTGACTATGCAATATGCAATGTGTTTTACAATTTGAAGGTAACTTTACGTACAAAACATTGTAGCGATAACTTTAATTCTGCGAACCTTTAACTTCTCCTCTTTAACTTCTCTTTAAGACTACCTATTCTAATATCCAACTAATTATTTCAGTGCCGAGGGGAGCAAGGCGAAGGATGCCCTGCTGGACGCCAATCTATGTGCCACATCGCTGGCGCAGTTCCAGAGGCTCACGCTGACCGAATCGCAGAGCAGCAGCCTCACCTTGGCCATGCTCTTCGTCCTTCAGCTGGCCCTGGGAATGGGCAGCCTGGCCTACTACACCCTGGGAGTCAGCTACATCGACGACAACTCCCTCTCGCAGGACAGCCCAGCGGTAATAGCTGCCATATTGGCTGCCCGCGTGTTTGGCCAGCAGGCGGGATCCTTTTTGGTGCTCGGTGTAGGACTGACCAACGTGGGCTGGTGGCTCGGCTGGGTGATACTGGCTCCCTTCATTTTCGTGGGAGCCGTGCTGCTGGGACTGTTTCCCAAACGCCTCCCCAAGACGGTTATCCACCAGGCTGCCCAGAGGATCATCGAGCAGTCGAATATGCGTACCTTTGGTAGCCAGTTCTCCACTTACCTGGATGACTCCGATTTCTGGCCATCGCTGAAGCGGCTCTTCAACAACCGACTGCTCATGGTCAACCTGCTGAGCATCATGTGTGTGCAGAGTGCCTTGGTTAACTATAACCTCCTGGAGGAGAGCTACCTGCAGAGCAGGTTCTTTCTGCCCTACAACGAACAGGATGGATTGGCGGCGGAGTGGAGATCCGCTTTTGTTTCCTACTTCCTCAAGCCTCCAGTAATGGCAGTTGGAATGCTTGTCAGTGGTTTGGTCATCTCGAAGGCGCAGCTTTCTGCCAGGAAAATCACCGGAATCAACATAGCATTGAGCATCCATCTGGTGGCCATTTTCGTGGCCCTGATCTTCATCAAGTGCGATGTGGGTGCAATTGCGGGAGTGGAAGGTGGCAAGTTGAAGCAGCCCTATTGCTCCAGCCAATGTCTGTGCACTCCCACCGCCTTCATGCCCGTTTGTCCGGAAAACAGCGCAGTTACATACTTCTCCCCCTGCTATGCAGGTTGCTCCAAGCAGACCACCATCAATAGCTTCGAGTTATTCGAGGGCTGCAGTTGCAGTGGCGATCAGTCCTTCAATTCCACCGGTCAGATGAGGGCAACCGCAGGAGCCTGCAGTTCGGGAAGCTGCCAGTCGGCCATCATCATCTTCCAGATCATGAGCATCTCGGTGGCCTTTCTTATGGGAGTGGGCACCATTGGCAAGACCTTGATCATTTTGCGGGCTGTCCTGCCACAGGACAAGTCCTTGGCGTTGGCCTTTGAACTCATGATCGTGGGACTTTTTGCCTATGTTCCAGTGCACCTCAGCTATGATATTGTCGATCGTAAGTGAATTATATTCGAAATATTTAATTACACTTAAATTAAATCTTTTATTTATATAACCTAGGTACAACCTGCGTTTATTGGGCACCCAACTACGAGCGCTGTTTGCTGAGAGAGACGCCCAAGCACGGCAATATCCTGGACATCCTCACTGCCTCCTTGATCCTGGCCAGTGTGCTCTTTGACATTCTAGTGTACATCTTTGCCAAGGGATTGAATCTGTACAACTGCAAGGTGACGGACAACAACTACACACCCTCTCTGTATGCACCGATTCCCCACGAAGACACAACTACTTCACCAAGTGCTCCTCGCGGAGGAAGTCCTGTGACCACCACGACCACTTCCTCCCCAATGCAACGCAGGGATGCCCAGCAGGAATTGCCAACGCAGACGGCGGTCTTCAGGAATCCCAGTTCGGTGACGACCTCCTCCGGTGGAGCACAGAGTGTGGTGGAGCCCAGCGAAAGCGGAGTTACCTATGCCCAGGTGGTCTTCCCACCGGACAGACGCAAGCCGGACGATGGTAGCACCAGTCCGAAGAGACTGGCTGTCCCCGCCAATGTGCCACTGCATCTGCTCTCCGAGTCGGATGTTCGCAGCCAGCTGGGCAACCTGAAGTCCTTCAATCCTCCGAAGCAGGAGGCGGACAGGGGACAGGATACCGTGGATACCGATGACGTGGTGGTCACCCAACCACAATCGAGTGTTCAACCGCAGGTTCAGGCAGTTCTTCCACAGGTTCAACATCCAGATCAGGAGATCAGCTCTCCAAATACCAGAGAAACAACACAAAATCAGCCAGCGGATATTGCCAGACCACAAAGTCCCGAAACGGACTTCTAATGAGGCCACTTAAAAGTATTCTAAACGTTTTTTATTACATTCCTATGCTTAAGATCCGATGTGCCAAGACAAATCATTTGAACAAATAAAGTTATTTTTCATTCCATTGTAAAACCACTTTCACTTTTGCAATACAGCTTAATAATTTTAAAAATCCTGGAGAAATATCTATTTTTTGGATTGTTGACAAATAAAATATAATTCTTTTAAAAAATGTTATTACAGTGTATGTTCTGTATACGCCCTGATTAGCATGGTAATCAAGTTTGTGCGGTTTCATAAATATAGGTCAGTGGAGTTTAAATATATAATATACGTTTATACCCAACAGTCAATGAAACCATTAGGGATATATTATGATAGGTAATAAAAAAATATAACTATTAATTGTTTTTATTTGTGAACTTCACATAATTCTTTTTTCTTTAAAAGTTCTATTAAGTAAACTGATTTTTCAGAGAAGAATCGATTTACATTGCTGTTACTGATTGCACAGCTTCGAGATATCTGCCTGAGGAAGAAATCCCGCCCAGGATATTATGGTCCTGAATGGCTCTCGATTAAGACGCGTTATGACCCGCACATTGCTCTTCTTCCCGTGGATTGCGTCCACCCGACGACCTTTCAGATGGTCCAGTACCATCTGTCCGCGGGTGTGGACTCCGGCGAGTTCCACGGTGGCATGGTACTCCATCTGCTCGGCAATCACTGCTTCTGGAAAGAGATAAGCCGCTGCGAGGACAGCGTCTGGATTGAGCCACTTCTTGATGCCACGTGGCACCATCATGGCTCGCTCCACTCGGGTCAGCAGCTCAACAAACGGATGGTCCACGGTACCCAGGACATTGAGCCTCCAGTCGAGTGTCAAGTAAAAGTTCTCATCGATGCTGGGCTCCCAGGGCAAAATTAAAGCTGGCTCCTTCAATCGCTCCAAGGATGTGTGCGCCGCCTCGGGATCCATCATGAAATTAAACTCCGCACTTTTCATCACATTGCCTCGGCCGTAGATGTTTCCTCCCATGATGTACACTCCGCCAATCTTATCCAGAAACTCATCTCCATAGAGGTTAATGCAATTGGCGAAGTTAGTTAGTGGTCCGCAGAGCATAAAGTCCACTTGTTTTGGATGGGAGCAAGCCAGCCGATACATGGCATTCACAGCGTGCTCCTTTCGGAGTTGTCCCTGCAGCTCATCCACCTCCGGATTGTTGCCCACATCCTTGAAGCCATCGATGCCATGGAACTTTGAGATGTCCAGCCACGTTCGAGGAATAATGGGATTAGCACAGCCTTTGTAAACGGGGATCTATTTAAGTTGGTTGAGAACTTATTAATAAAAAAAAGGTAAAATTCCCACTTAAAGAGAACTCTTTAATATTTTAAATACAACAAATTTAATTAGTTTATCACATTAAAGTTGCATACTCTTGAAACTAGCTACATTATAAATAATTTAAAAATTGTTATATTAAGGATTTTGGACTTAAATTTTATTCAATGACTTGAAGACTTACATCTTTTCTTCCCAGTAAGCTGAGTATCCTCAAGGCATTTTGAGCACCGTGCTCCACATCCGTGTTGCCCTGCACACAGGTAATTGCAACTAGCTTATACCGTCTGCCGCCGGGCAAGGACAACTGTTCGCCCCTTAGTAACGTGGCCAAGGCCCAGGCATCATCCGATCCAATATCACAGTCAAAGACCACCAAGCGTTCCAAATCCTTCGTGTCGTTCTCCATGACTAGTTCATAAAATTGCTTGCGGTTGTCTTTTATATGCCTCCTAATGCTTCTTTCTAGCGATTAGGTTTTTGAAACCACTTTTTGTGGTTAAATATGCTAGTTTAAACAAAAAAGGAAGCAAACAAAAAAGGTGTCTCAAACTTTTCACTGAAATTATAATACCCTCTGCAAGGGTATTGAAACGCAAAGAGAGATAACGATGTAATTAAGAACCCGAGTTAATAGTGTAACAGGCTGGATATTAATTATGTATACTAACTTATATGATTATGATTTTATTATAAGCGCTGGTCACACTTCCGATCTCTCGAGAGAGGAATGGCTCTCTAAATAATAAGCAAAAAATAATTCTTTGAACCTTACAAAACTCTTAAATAGCTATATTTTTCCACGCAAATGTTTTTAATTTATAATTTTTGATGCAACAAAATTAGAATGTATTAATAAATTAATTAGCAAATTCTATATATTTCTATTTATTAAAATTTTATCGAATTTTAGTCTGTGAAAAATTCATTTTACGCAATCGTGAAAAATATATTGCCTACTTTTCGGAATTTTTATTTAAAGTTTATGTAGAAATCACATATAGAAGATGTAGAAAGGATGTAGATACTTTGTACTTACAGGGTGCCATTCTTTCAAAATTTTCCATTAAAAAGAACATATATTTTTGTTTTAAGCCACAACATACTAAATAATTTTTGAACAAAACATTTTACTTTCCCTAAAAGAATTATAGTTTGAAGTAAAAAAATCCTTTTCCCGTTTCTAAGCAATCAAAATGTACCGTGTTGGACTTTATAGAAACTTATTCAACACCCTTTCTGCTAAAAGGGCCGAAGTTGTGTATCGACATACAAAAGCGGCTTTCCAATTGAGGGTTTATAAAAGCTGATAGCCCATGTTTAAACTCAATATAAAAACCAAAGGAATATATTCTCTGGATTCGACTAAACGATTTATAAGAGTCTCTTTAAGATTTATGTTTTCACCCGGAATAATAGAAAAATGGGTTTGATTTTGGTTTTCAATATAATTTTATTTTTCCTTTATTTTAATATAGGTTGTTTGCAGTTATTTTGTTTAGATTTATTTTAATTGTTTTTGCGCTTACAAACTAATTAATAAATTAATAGTTAGCTTAAAAAGAGGCTTAAATCGTAAAACTGATAGGAGAAAAACTAAACATGAAACGCATGAAGATGGTTCTTTGAATTGAAAATAAAAATCATAGGGGGAATACTTTCAACAGAATTACTATGGGTTCGGGTTCGTCCGTCCGTCTGTCTGTCCGATCTGTCCTTCCGTTGGTTTTGGCCCCGTAGACAGCTAGTTTTGGGCACTTCAGTTGGAGTATTATTTTTGGTCTACTTCGCATTTATTCCTCTTTTGTTTTTAATAGTCCCCACCCGATGTGGGACATTCTCTTTTCTCTTCTCTTCTTTTTTTGTGTATATTCCACGCTAGCCTTAGACAATTTGAGTCTCCGCAGGCAGCATTGTGTGTGGCATTGTGTCTCTGGGGCAGGATCCAATGGCCTGCCCCCAAGTGAGTGAGTGCTCTTGGGCATTGCAAAACTTGGCGTCTACGGGGCGGTCAACTTCGGACAGGGGACAACTCTGGGAATCGAGGAACTCGACTGGAGCTCTGCCCTCTTGGCTTCTGGGTTTCAGTTATTCACACTTCCATCTCATGGCTGCAGCAGTTCAGCTTCTTTTCATGGTTCACCTAATGGGCTTGTCGGTCGTAGAGTGCGGGTGGTAATAGGAAACGAAAAAGATAATGTGGAGAAAATCCTATAACAGATTTCGTACAAACATCAAGGAATTTTCAAACTAAGGTTAATGCAAATTATCGACTAATTATAACAAAAATAGGACGAGTTTTTCATCATTTTACAAATTGAGTGTTTCATCTTGTTTGCGTTTGCTTGCTTTCATATTCTTTGCATTGGATCTTCTTCGTCGTGACATTAGAAGTTTGTTCTCAATTTAGCTTTTAGTTTTACACAATATTTACAGATATTTGGGCTTTTCGTTTGCAGATAGTTTAAGAGTTTAACAAACAATTTCGACAAGCTTTCATTTTGTTTGGTTGTTGATCTTTATCTTGTTTTTGAATAGCTATACAATCTTTAAAAATATAGCGTGAGAATATGCTAGAGTTAATATAATTTTCTACGTGTTTCGTTATCGATTTTTGTTTAATTTGAAACATATTCATATTTATGATTTAGTTAATATTTGCTGTGTGTGTGTTTTTTTTACAGTAAAGGTTAGAATTAAAAGTAAATTATAAAAATAGCAGCTGGCCTTTTCTTGTTTCATTAAATTGTATTTGTATTTATCGATCAAAGTTGAATATGTTTGGAAATTTGAATCCTACTTTCCTGTCCTTGCTTCTCTGGTTTGCTTTTGTTTTATACAATTTACATCTTATGTCTCTGACTGCACAATGCAAATTATCACATATTTTTCAATAAATTTCCCTTCTGTCCTTCTCTTTTTCTTTCGTGTGTGTGTTTTATTTTCCCTGGCACTCTATTACACTTTATCGATTTTTATAGTTCTGCTGCTGTTTTTCTCCTTTGGCCAAAAACTCTACTTTGCTCAAGTATTATTTTGCAGCCATTTCTTTTTTTCAGTGAGTGGTGTGGTGTGTTCTTGTTCTGGGTGTGTGTTTGTTTATGATTTTCATGTGTTTTTTATTCGTAGCGTTAACAACGTGGAAACAAACGGGTAAACAAAAATAAAAATTATTAAACAAAAAAATGGATGCGCAGCAGCGCGATGTTTAAAAGAACTCCTATACTCGAGTTAACAGCGGACGGTAACAGCGCCAGCCGCAGTCGCTGTTAGCGTGCAGTCTATCTGTGTGGGTGTGGGTGTGTGTGGGTTGCATGTAGATGTGTGTGGTGTACATGTGTGAGCGTAGTCTGTAGGAGTGTGTGTGTGTATGTGTTAAACAAATATCACAATCGAGAAATTAACAAAACGGCGGCTGCAGCAGCTTAACAGCCAGCAACAACGCAACAGTGCTTTAACAGCAGGTTAACCTAACATGGCGTTAACATATTTGATTGGCACCTGTGCCGATTCTACTACTGCTGTTGTTATTGTTATTGTTGTTGTTGGTGGCCTAATACTTTTTCGCTGCCCTCCTCGGCCCCGTCTCCTTGTTGGCCAAGAAGGAGACTGAGGCTGAGTTAACATTACGGTTGTTTTCATTCTTAAAAACGTTCATTTTCATTTTTCCCCCCACATTCCAGACCGTGGGCGTTGAAAAAAAACAAACTCTGTGGCTTCTTCTTCTCTACAACGGCGGCCCACAGCTTAGGACATGGGACCGTTGGCGGCGGCCACCGCTGTTGCTGCCACCGCCGCTGCCGCTGCTGCTGCTGACGTCACCTGCTGCTGCTGTTGCTGCTCGACCACAGATACCGTTACTACCGCTGACTCGACTGCACTGCCACCATTTTCGGCACTGCCGTTCGGAATGCTCGTGGACGCCACCGCGGACGCTGGACTGGTGGCCACACCGGCGTTGACCGCTCCACTGGCCGCCGCCGCCTGAATGGCGGGCGTGGCTGGGGGCGCGGCCACTGCCGCCGGCTGCTGGCTGCCGGCGATCTGGAGCTGCATCTGCAGCTGCTGCAGCGTCTCCTGCGGTATGTTCGACTTGAGAATGTTGTTCTCCAGCTCCAGCTTGTTGATCTTGTCCATCAGTTCGGAGATGCGCTCCTTCAGCACTTCCACCTCCTCGCGCACCGCAATCATGAGATGCGACTTGACCAGATCCTGAAAGAGCAGAGGGGAGAAAGTTGCTGGTAAGTAGGGTGCTTGGTAATGGATCTGTATTAAATTTAGTTAAAGAGATTTTCATCAATTCTAGGTCAGCGTAGTCATCAATATTTAAAAAAAAACGCTAAACTATCTATTGTAATTCTTTTCTGATTTAAACATTTTTTTTTATGTTTCGAACTCGTACATTTGCTTATGGTAATGCCTAATTTTGAGTAATAAAATTTAAAATACTGTTCATTTTAGTAATACACCTTTTGTAATTCAATTCTGGTTCAAACATTGTTGCAAAAATTACTATATCAGTGATTCCTCAGGCAAACAATAATTTGCCAACCGCATAGCAAATGAAGCATTTTTTGCGGTTTGCATCCCCACTTATAGCTCAGTTTGTAATCCATCCCAAGATAATTATGCACTAAGTTATAAATATTTACCCAACAGATTAACAGTGGGCCTCTGTTAGTTTAGCTCAACTAACATCCTGTTGCCACTTGTAAAATAGCTTTGCATTGCGGCTGACTCATTTTATTCAAGAGATCCAACATGGGCCATTCATAAATCACATTTTGTGCCAGCAGTGCGAATGTTTGCCCAATGTGGCGTGTTCGCTATATATTTTGTGCTTTATTTGCTGTGCAAATGTAAATGCTTCCCCGAAGAATCAAATGCTTTCGTGTCATTGTCAATGCCACAGCCGCAGAACACGTCATCGAAACCGACAAAAAAAAAAAAAAAAACACAAAAAAACAAACCGAAACACGGCGCACACAGCCAACGTTCATGGCTCACCTGGCTGCCATGCACCTTGTGAAAATTTAATAAACCCATTAAAGAGGCAGCGGAAAATCGAAAGGAAAACGCGTGCAGACGAATAGAATAATCGCACAGGCGTTTCTGTTTTTTTCTTTCGTTTTTTTTTTCGTTTTACTGTGCATTTAGCGGCACGTGTTCGGGTGATTTTTCCCATGTTTAATGGGGAAATGTCAATAGACCAAAACGAGCTAACGGGTTAGTTTTTTTTTTTGTGTTTGGGGAGGAAAAATGTTGCCTGTCGGCAGTTCCGTTTCACGAAAGAGTTTTCTTTCTTTCTTTCTCGACTCTCCACCAACCAATGCGATCTCTATAAATAGTCAGCTCGGATGCTTTCGTCGTCGTCTTCACTTTCAACAATTTCTTTCGACATTTTCTTGTTGTTGTGGCCTGGTTTTCTCAGGCACCGCAAGAAATAAAAGTTGAAAGTACGAAATCGTACAAAGAAAAGCAAACAGAAACTGCAAAAGGATATGCAATGCGAATACGTCAAAACAAAATTAAGCACGTCATTATGAAAAAGCGTTGATACGCCAATAAAAGTGCTTAAAATAAAAACCTAATTAATTAAAGAACTCTGAACCGAGCGGGCACTCATACGACGCACTCATTAGTCATACTTCAAATTGTATACGATATACGGTGGGTACGAGTATATATGTATCTGAAGAGCATGAACATGAGGCATGGAAAGCCATCGGAA